GAGGGGAGGGGAGGGGAGGATGGAATCCCTCTAGGCTAGAGACTAACAGGTAGATAATTACTGTTTGTGAGAGGTTACAAGGATGTTGTGCAGTGAGGGAAAAACTGCAATGAGCCATAAAACCACTGACTCTGTTGAGGACACGATTTTTAGTCTCCAGCAGAGTTACAAATTTCACTTTCCAGGCTCATCTTCTGAAGGGCTTTTCTGCTGGAATGAGGCTCTGAAAGAGCACAGGAACAACTCGGAAATATGAGGAGGTTCCTCAGCATATCTAGACAAAAACAAACTCGTGATTTGTATGGATTAGCAGAAATAAACTCCTAAAATGTACATATATGTGTGTATAGACTAGAAGTCCAAGAAAAAAGTTTTCCTTGCATTGTCCGCTTTTCCAGGCTAACCAGTAGCTCTGAAAAACTTTGTTAAATTCTTTTGTCCTGTATATCACTATATTTCAGTGAAAACAAAGCTGCAAAAGAAACATGAATAGTTCTGATCATTCTGATTTTTGGCAAATCAAAACTTATTTATAATCTTCAGAGGTATTTCAGTGGTATTTGAGTGCACTGCTAAGCCTCATATGTTAACAGAGACTGAAAAAGAAGCTTTAGATTTGCTAATTGGAAGTTTTCATGCCTTTAATTACTTGAGTGACTGTCCCTAGACAGTTTTCTCTGTTGCAGGAAGATAAATGTAAACTCCCTTCTAAAGTGATGAATCTTATCTATTGTGTTCACATTTTTACAGAAATGAACAAAATACTTTTCTAGCCATGATTTTACAGGTGTGCTGTAAAAGATCATCTTCCAAGATTGACAGTAGTAGATTATTATCAACCAAGCAGGGAGCTCTAAGGCACTTGGGTGCATATTTTAGAAGGTTTATAGACAACTGCCCCACAGATTTAACTCCAGAAATCTATCCTCAGTACTAAAGGTAGATATAGACACGTGTACATATGAGATGTATATAATGTATAATGACGATTCTTTGCTTACCTTTATATTATAGCTGAAATGATGTGTTTGTATATTCTCATCATTTGTGGTATGTGTTTGTTGGTCTAAGGTTTACTCTGGGTAAAACTATCCTTAAAGCAAACACTCAACTCTGTTTTACATCTCTGAACCTATAGGTTACCTCCATGTGGTTTCAGCTTCAACCCTTTAACAACAAATTATTATTTATGTAAGCTGTCAAGTCCACACAGGACAAGCAGCTGCAGAAGAAGAAACTGAAGCACATAAACCATAGTGAGAAGCATAAGGCTCCCATAAAGACTTAGTATTTCTGTATTTAGTCCAGTAAGAGTGAATTATTCATTACAATCAGGCAAAACCTCCCCCAGACTTGCCATTTCATCCACAAGTTTTTTGAAAATTAAAGCTCAGCATGAGGCCACCGGAGAATTATTCTGAGTTAATAACACCTGCAAAGAACAGAGATTTCACTGTGAGGTAAATTGCTGTATGATTGCCCGCACATCAGCAAAAATTATAATTGGGAAAAACTGAATATTTTCTCTGTATTTAACTGGTGAGTATTTTGCAGGGTGTCGTTTTACATTAAGTGGTAGAGTTATAATTCAGAATGTCTTACAGCAGCCAATTGTGTTTGTTTTAACAGCAAGATTTCTTCTCTGTGAGAAGATTTCTATTGCTGTCAGCTGCTATTTCAACTTGATGCAATATGCATTTAGAGATCTTTCTTAATCTTAGGGAAAATAGTCAGAGACAGCCTTTAAACTGTGGATTGTTTTCCTCATGATTTCTTGTGTATTTAGCGGTTGATACTTTCCCCTGCCTAACTGTATCACATAAATAGCAAGCTAAGTCATGATTTTGATCTCTACATCTGCAGCGTATGTATACTCAGCAGCTCCCTGGACAGCAGTGGAAACTACTGAAAGCATACATCTTTGTTTCTTCCAGATGTTTCAGGACTGCACTCATAACTAACATGAAAAATTCAGGTGGAACTCCTAAATCAAATTAGGTCTTAACTTTATCAAAAAAAACGACAGAGAAAGAAAAAAAAGATAAATTGCCTTGTCGCCATATCATGCTGCGCTGTTACATGCTGAGGTATTATTGTCTGCATTTTCCACAAGTCCTATATCAGTTCACAACTCATGTTTGGAGCAGAATTCAGGCTTCTGCCTGATGACAGTAACACAACTCCAGCACAAAATGGATGAAGTTTGTATCATTCAAGATGGGTCTATATAGAGAACCTCAGATAGATCTCTTTTTGCCTGTCCTTTGAAGGGAACCATCTCTGGTCCACAGGCCAAGTATGCTTCCTAGCAAGACGTATTGCTGAGCCCAGTAGGTTGCTCAGAGACTCAGTTACTTGATTCAGGTGGGTCACCAGGCTAGCAGCTGGATGTGCCTTCTGCAAGGAAACTGCTTGGGCTCTGCCTGCTCATCTCTGGGCAAATGTTCTTTTGTGAGATGCAAAGTTACATGGTTTCATTTGAATTACAATGCACAATTTAATTACGTGGTTGCAATGGCTGAGGCTTACTTACCAGCAAGTTCTTTGTTCTAGAGAATATGCTTTTGAATTCTGCACTTTTTGTATTCTGCAGCATTGAATGCTGCCAGAAACCTGTCTTCTGTCCCTCCCTGTTAATCTCTCGTCACCCTTGTAATTTCTGTGCCTTACAGAGAAAGCTCAAGTGCTTGTCTCATTGAACTCAGATTTAAGATTATAGTCATAGCTGTTGGGCTGAGCTTTACCCCCTTCCCCAGTTGTAAGAGGGAAAAAAGCCTGGTTAAATCTGAGGGAAGACGAACATATCTAGGAGAGTAACAACTGTTTTCTGGTGTGTACTTCTAGTGCAATGAAATTTCCTTCAGTGAATTCCTGCTATATGATTTTTACAGTTACTAGAATAAAATGGGTGAATGCCTAAGAGACAGGAAACTAATAACTATATGAGTATGTTAGACAATAATATGTAGTGGGTGATGCTGTTATACATAACAGCTAAGCTATTCTTGCTGCAACACAGCAAAGGGCTAATATAAGACAGGTTCATTGTATCAACAGGGGATGTATTACAAAATAATTTGCTGGGCAAGATTAGGCTTTTCAGGCTCATCCAATCCTACTGCCTGCTCCAGAGGTTGCTGAGAAGTGTAATAAAATAACAAATCCTCACTGATTGACTAATCTTCCTTTTCTACAACACCTCAAAGTGTTTCCCTTTCTCACTTAAGAACAGAGCTGTGGCTAAACAGGCCTCCAGCACAGAACTGTGTAAGTCTTGCCATGGCCTCCAGCTTCAAGCTTGTCAGCTCTAAGTCACTGCTCATGGATCATCCTAGAATTTAACTCAGCTATTAGAGGGCTAGGGGAAGACCTGGTGTTTGGCTCAGGGCTCTAGGGAAGAGGAGAAGATGCAGGTGTATTGTATAAGCAAACTTCCATGTGTCAACATCCATGTGCTTGTCAGATGAATTTATCTGCTCCAGCTGCACTGCTCCAAGAGTGGATCTTTCAGTATATATTTATCTGACGTATTATGTGTCTGGAATGTGCTGTCAGTTTCTTTCACAGAAAATCTTCGTGGCATAGGGAATGTAATTATGAGGATGGTCTAGCATCATCATAGGATCGCACAGTATGAAATGAGGTACCAACTAACAGCATCCAACTGGGTTAGGTGCCGTATAGTGGGTGTTAACCCCTGTCCAGAAGAAAAGTGAAATAGGCAGAAAGTCACCTGTCATTTTACAGAGAAGAAAACCAATGCACTGAGAAAATGTGTGTTTAGACAAGTAAAAGTGGAAATCTGAGAGAAGCGTTGGGCTGTGGATTCTAGCTCCTGTTTCAGATGGTCTGTCATGTACAAACTTCTGCTGTTACAAAGTTGTAACGATGGAAAAAATGTCTCAAAAAAAGGAAAAATAATGGCCAAAACTGAAAGAAAGGAACACAAGGTATCCAGACTGAATTGCCATTTGCTTGAATTTAAAAGGATATTTTTCTATTCCTTCTCTGTTATAGATATGTACCTGAATTTAGATGCCTATATTTGAATTGTGTTATGAACTTGTTCACACTTCATGGGAATTCGTGTGCAGCGAGTCACATCTATCTCTGAGTTTGAAATGCTGCTGGAATTTAAATGTTATTAAAAAAAGAAACAAAATAAAAAAACCCTGTTTTTCTAGGTTGTCCTGGGGCCAAGAAGAATGAATTCCTGACTAGTGTTTTGGATGCATTGTCCACGGATATGGTGCATGCAGTTTCTGATCCATCATTGTCTTCTAGCCGGTGGGTTTCAGGTCCTTTTTATGTGTCTTTAAAAGTATTCTGGCAGAGGTGAATGAATTGTTGGGGGCTTTGAGAAGTAATTCCTTTTCTGCCTTCACAAAGGGTAAATTTCCAAGAACCCATCTAGGAGAGTTTGCTTTGAAGTTATTACAGTGGACTATGTCCACTGAACAGAGATACACTTGGTGGCTGAATTCTCATCAGCAACCCAGCTTAGATTTTATCTGTAGCTGCTGGTGCAACTGCATCTCAGTCTTTATTCTCTCAGGCTTAATGAATGTGTGCTACCTTCCTGATTCATATTTTGCCTAGTTGCTTGTAAAATAGACCAATGCTTTCAACAGTCCTGGGCAGAATTAAAAATGCGTAATTGCTGTCAGACTTTGGGCATCTGCAAGTTCAGGTGCTTACCATCTGAAAGTGGTAGGTGGCATTTATTGTTATAACTTACCCTGGAATTCAATACATTTAAGTGTTTTATCTCTAAAAGCATCCATCATGGGTTGTAATTGGAGCCTAGGTATTTGTCTATGCTGACTGTTGACCTACTTCAGTTGAGTATATTACATGTTTTAAGTGTCTGCCGTCTATGAAACTGTGTTTTTCTCTTTTCTATCTTCACTTTTCTCTGTTTCAGGAAATGAAAAGGCAAAGCACTGTTTTCTGAATATGGTGCTGACCTGAACACAGTTTCAGAGAGTTAACTGAGAGCAGATTCCAGCCCTTAGTGTAAAATCATTTGGCCAAGGTGAAAAAAGAGGGATTCACTACAGGAAGCTAGGGGCCAAAAGCAGAGAGGTTCATGTAACAAAACATCTGACTGTGATTTAACTATTCTGAAATAAAGGTTTAAACTGAGATTTATGTATCAGAATTAAGACTAAACTCTTGTTTTCTGTTTCAGGGTTTCAGAGCCTGATCCAAATCACACGCTGGAAGAGAGAGTGGTCCACTGGTATTTCAAACAGCTAGACAAAAATTCCAGTGGTGACATTGGCAAGAAAGAAATCAAGCCATTTAAGAGATTCCTAAGAAAGAAATCAAAACCCAAAAAATGTGTGAAGAAGTTTGTAGAATACTGTGATGTGAACAATGATAAGTCCTTGTCAGTTCAAGAATTAATGGGCTGCTTGGGAGTAACAAAAGAAGAAGGTAAAGCAGAAACAAAGAAACGCCATAGTAAGAACCTTTTCTGACTTTTCCAACCTTTTTCCCTAGATTCTTCAAAGCTAACAAAGTCTGGTATTTGCATATGCCAGAAGTATACCAAATAATACACCTGCCTATAGCTAGTGCAGCTGTTGCTTAGGACAGATGGTAGGAAAGCTGCTTCTGTGTAGGAAGATCATCACTTAGCTCCTACAGAATCAAAAACTTCCTGTTCATTCCAACCATTAAATGTATTAGAGTAGGAAACCTAAGAGGATAAGATAACAGTAACAGTCATCAAAAAGCCAGTTTAATGTTATTAGAGTATTATGTTCTGAGTGACTGGAAGTATGTCCTGAATTAGTGGAATCATAGAATCATAGAATGGCCTAGGCTGGAAGGGACCTTAGAGATCATTTAATCTGACCTCCCTGTCATGGGCCGGGATGCCTCTCAACTAGATCAGGCAACACAGTGTCACACCTGTGCTTTTTGGATTTATGCTGGGGAGGAAGCACACTGTGGAGCTTTCTAATGACTTCTCATTGCTCAAATGTGGTTTAGAGATACAGTGAGGAATGTGGTCATCTGCCAAACAGGTAGAACAACTGCTGGTACACAGCCACCTTATCTTGCTGCCAAACTGGTGGAAAAGGGAGCAACTAACTACAGTGTGTAATGTGCCCTGCAGAATTCAATCACACAATTCCTGAAAATTAGGAAGAATTCAAAAAAGGTAAATTGTAAGCAACAACAGTAAATCCGGATACTATAAGAAGTTGTAGAACATGAATATCAGCAATTTGACGGTTCATGAAAATAAAGCCAGGGCAGTAAAACAAAGGTGTCATAAGAAATAGAAAGCATACCAGGTGGGAAATGCAGTCAGAAATAAAATGGTTTCCACAAAATTGGTTGTGTTCAAGTCTAGCATGGTAATATTGCAGAAAGATGGAATGGTTCTACCCTGTACTAGTAAAGTAAATTATCTATGTCCCACAGAAACAAATATTTCAAAATTAATATATAAAATCCATGATTTCTTTTCCTGTGGGTTTTTTTTTGACCTTGCAATTTTCACTTAGATGAAAGAGATTAAAAAAAAATTTATATGAAGGTGGATGACTGTTGTTATCTTTATGCTATAAATGTGGAACCTGAAACTTAACACCTTCTTTTTTATTTACACTATTTGGCAGACTAGTGTTTTAAAGTAGAGGCCTTTATGGCCCTTTTCATATGTTAACATCCATTTCAAGACACTTCTGTCCTGCAGCAGCTGGCACTGCTTGGTCTCTTATTGTAGATGAAATTTGAGTCCAAAATCATTGACCCAGCACATAAAGGAAAGCTATAGCAAGACTCAAAGGAGAGCCTGTTTTTTTTCCTGTGCCCATTCCAATGAATAAACAAAGATTAGGCTAAACTGCCTGCTTTGGAAAAGAAAGTTATAAGATGCCTGAAATTATAGGATGATCACACACAGATTTAACTCAAGGAAAAATTACATTTAACATAACTAGAGATTGTTAACAGAGCCTCTCCAAAAACGTAGTCAATAATGAGAACAGTAATTTTTGGAAGGAAAAAGTACCTTGGAACTTTTGCATTGAAGAACAAATGGCATCCAGTTGGAAGAAAAATTAAACTAATTCATTTGGTTTCCTTCCTAGAAATGAATAATCTTAAAGACAAGACAGTAAAAATTGATTTTACTGAAATATCAGCATTGTACTTTGTTTCCTCTGCTTGATAATAGAATTTCCCTTTCTGATAATCCTGTCACTTGTACAAAAGAAGTCGATCACCACTTCACTACAGCTGGACTTCTAATTTTAGGAAGAGATGAGACCCTATCACCTGAGGTGGTGAGAACTCAGATAAGGAGCTGGCCCTGTATCATTCTGTGTGAGTCCTAGGTGTCTTGTGAGAACTAGTTGAAGCAATATAAAAGCCCTTAAGCTGCAAGACGTACTTTCTCAGGGAAATACTAGTTGCTGCAGTATTTTCCAAGGTCTAGTTTTGTTCTGCTTTGTCCCAGTACAACTTTATTGACTAGCAGACTGGCATGGAAAACCAGGAGAGTGAGTTCCTCCCTAGCCTCCCAGGCTTGGTTCTGAAGTTGAATGGGCCAGCAGACTCACGTAGCTGGAGTTATGTTTCCCTATTTAGAGCACTGTCTTGGACTTTGCCACTAGGAAACTTAAACACCATCGACCATCTTCTTATTTTACATGTGAAATGTGAACAATGTCTTTGGCTTGTAGAGGTGTTCCTGTGCAATATTTTTAAGCAAAGTACATGCTTTCCAGATAGTGTGTTTGCCCATGCTTCTTTCCCACCAGGGATCATAGGCTGTGTTTACTACTTATATATATAATGATTCTACTACCATATTTATAATGTTTTCTTTTCCCTCCTTTAGCAGCCCCTAAAACCAACACTGAGAGCACTTCATCCAGCAGGCAGGTGAGTACCGAAGAGAACAAGATCCCCATTTCTGCCTTGCCCAACTGAACTTCCTGGGGTTTTAGCAATTATCATGGCATCTCCCAACTGCATTCGTCTTCCATTCTGCAGGCTCACCAGGAAAATGCAGAGCAGCATCCTGATTAACAATTTTTGACTGAAGTTCTGTCTAAGAAAAGCTGAACCAGTCAGCTAGAGGTCCAGAGTAAATGTGCATGAATGCATAGTGAATTAGGCCTGCATATGGATGTTCCTGGTAAAGGAACATCCTCCTGTTTCCTTTACAAGTAAAGTGTAAATTGGCATATAAATTAGTGATAATTAGATGAGTGTAATTGAGTCCTCATGTCAGTCTTCTGCTTTCCTGAATGACAGCATTCCCATACAATTTTAAATGTGCAATGCATTATCTTCGTTTACCTTTTGCTGAATTCCATTAGCTTTCCTGTGTGTCACAATATAGACATAAACTTACACTGATTGAAATTACTCTTTGTGAGCAAAGCCATGCATTTCCCATGCCCTCTGAATATCTATACATTTCACAAACTCCTCTGAATTATTATATGGTGGCTTTAAGCACCTTTTAAAATCTTAGTGTAGAGAAAAGAGCTGTCACTTTCAAATGCCTTTGCTGGCTGAGCAAAATGATGCTGGAGAACTAGGATTTGCAGAAGTCTGCTGATGTATGTTAAAACTAAAATTGGCTAGGTCTGTGGAATGATTGTAGCAAATAAAACGTCAAGTGCCCTGACAGCATAATCCATGATTTGTTTTTGCATCAATTTTCTGCAAAGACTTGATTCTGTTTTTCTGAATAACACCAGTGTATGTAGGGAGTTTTGGCTACTCCAAGACATTCAAAGCTACAAAAAGCATGAAAGCTGAGTTTTTAGATGAAGAAAGGTACGCACTGAAAAGAAGACATTCAAGTGGAAGCTCAGGAACAAAAGATTAGTAAAAGGTTTCTCATTTGTGTGTGTATATTTTTATAAACATTAATCCTAAAGATTCAGTTTTCTGGGCAATATAGCACTTTTGGATGGGTCTGAAGAAGGTCTTAGGAGTCTGGGTCTGAAGAAGGTCTTAGGAGTCTGCCAGTTATTTGAATGATCTAGTAAAAGAACTGTCTTCATAACATTCTTGCCTCAGTTTTATATTAGAGGAATTAAATGATTAATGCCCACAATAGCATCAGTAAATGATGATTTGTTTTACAAAATATTCATATAAAAATATTATAAGAACAGGCCAGGTAACCCTAGGAAAAGAGGAATTTGGCTAAAAATATCCAAAAGCCATAGTTGTGGTTGATGTCTTTCAATCTATCAGAAAGCTAGGCTAATTTGTTAAAATCTTAACCCAGGGTGAACCTCCTCAGAAGCCGAGAGAAATCTTCTCATTGTTGCTAGTCAATCTGTTACTTGCTCTATCTCTGATTTGTTTGATGTTAGGTTCACACTTCCTAAGGCAAGCTCAACATTGGTTGCAGGTTCTACGGGAGACCTCCTACATATCTTTGATGGAATATGAAATATTCTCACAGCTAGAGGGATGTGATAAGTTTCTGTTTGTTTAAACAAATGTTTGTGGTCTTAACTTTTCAAGTTCCCCCCACAAATCACTTATGCTTTAAGCAAGGCGGCCTGAAAACAATTATCCTGTCGGAACTCAAAAACATTCAAAGGGGTTATTTTAATTATATAATGGCAATTACTGGCACACGTGCATTACACTTGAAGCATGACAAGCCCTCTCCCCTTTCTCGTAATCTGATCCTGACTTGCAGAATCTGCAATAAAAGTGTCCTACAGCGTCTATGGTTTTTAATTTTGTCCAATAGTTTTGCTGACTCAGCACCAATTATTTTAAAAGCTATTGCTGAGAAATGATAGCCTTGAATTAAAGCTGGCTCAGCAAAACATCTGTTGGCAGTTTCATACTCGAACAATACAAGGCTGCAAATGCAGAAGGTGGCTTTCGTCACAAAAGTTTTCACTTGAAAGGAAGTTACTGAAAAGCAGCTGGGCTGGGTAGGAGCAGCTCAAAGGAAACGACCCATCTAGGAAGGAGTGATCACACTTGCACCACTTGGGAGACAGGCACTCAAAAACTCGTTTTCTACTAGTTTATTGGCGCAGTTCAGTTATATCTATGTTTATGTCTGCTTAGACATGCATTCCTGAATATTTTTTTTTTACATATATGCATATCTATACATGTACATGCTTATTGAAAGAAAGCGGGTATAGATACATATACTAATATGTTAACTGAGGCTCAGTCGTGGTTGCTTTAAAAGAGGTCAAATGCATGATGGATCTGACAGAAGTGGGGTAATGGCCAAGTATATTTCCCTTGCTCAGCTCCACCCTGTCCAACAAACATACACATACATGCACACACACACTGTCAATGAGACCCAGAGGGACTTTTGCAGCCTAGCAAAAAGTTTACAAGGAAGCTATAGACTGTTCATAAGACTTTGGCCAGCAGCCCATTCCTTATACATCACATGCTATAGAAAGGTATATTGCACCAGGGACTTGCCCAGGCAGTTGCTACAACTTTGGGTTTGACAGATACAGATTTAAAGAGGCCATAGGTAAGGAATAGTAAAGATGTTGCTTTTGCCTGTGTTTGTAGATGCTGTGAAGAACTACAGGACAGGGATTTTTTTTTTTATTCCCCATACATAGTTTTGCAGAACTCTAATAGTGGCATATGGAACACTGCTGAAAAATGTTTGTACTTGATTATTTGAAAACATCACTAACATTACAAAATTTTCCATCTTTCTTTCAGCAAGGATCTAAGAAGCAAGGGTAAACAGCTTACTGATCCAAGGCAGATCTCTTTGACATGTGGGAGATTTCCTCACCAAAAGGCAATAAGAACAACTGTAGTATTTGCACTTTGTACTTAAAAATGTAAATTCACTTTGTAGAAATGCAATATTTAAACAGACTTTTTTTTTTTTAATCTGTGAAAATGTAATGGCTAGTTTTTAAAATTTATCACATACAATGTATGTGTATTCTTTTTTTGTCTGAAATATGTAAAACATGTTGGAGATGTAAAAGTTTGCATTTAAACCATTTTTTAAAAGATAGCTTTTTGGCAAACAATAGCATAGAAACCTAATTTTATGTATTTTGGTTTCAATATTATACCTTGTTTTTCTTAATCAAGTCATTTAAGTAGAGTTATACTGAAAAGCCTACTGTACTCTGAATTTTGTCCAGGCAGTGTTGGATGTTTCAGGTTTGCAGGACTGAGCGAAGTGTATAAATTGTTGTTTACTTGGTTTTGCAGGTTTTAACTGAATGGATTGTTCCTTGGTGGCAATATTCTATTTCATTTTACTTTTATTGTTATTGATATGCTTTCCAAAGATCATGCAATGAAAATGCAACCACTAATGGATTTAGAAGAGTTATTCTGCAGTTGGGATACTTGTAGAGGTGCCTTCCAATATAAGTTTTGGTATGATTTTTTCCCCTGTTTGTTTTCACTTGGGTTATGAATACAGCAAACCAACAAGGAGTAAGGTGGTAAGATCTGGTTCAGCCTGGGCCTAAAAGCAAGTTTCTGTGTTGAGGGCAAAGCAAAGCAGAGTTCATATGGGTCAGAATTGTAAATCTAACTATAAGGAGACGGGGAAAGCTAAACACATTGTTCAACCTTTTCTTCCCCTACACCTGGCTGCCCCCATCAACTCTGTTTTGCCTCAGGGTCCACTAGACGTACAACTGAACAAATTATGAACAGTTGCCATCGGGAGGGGCTGCTCACATCGCCCCTGCCTGAGGCTTGTTCCTTGGTGTCTGAAAGACATTCTCACAAGTTTTCATACCTTCTCTGTCATTTCCCGCACACACCCCCCACCCAGTGCTTTTTTGTATGTATGCCTGAGGGGACTAAGAACTTGCGGATGTGAATTCAGAGCAGGGGACCCAAGTGAAAGAGGCTCAGCTCTTGAACAATAGTGAGTTACAAGCAGCTGGGTTGATCGATGCTGTGGTAGGTGGACTGCTGACATATAGGAGCTGACATGAAAAGGCAGGAATGTTGCAACAAGAAGTGATTTTATTCTGGTTTGTTTAAATAACATCTGGGATCTGACATGTGACTAGCTAATCATAATAACACTCTGGCTTGAGCTTGTACCTGGAAAAGCTTCACTTCAATTTTAACTTATGTTGAAGTGATAGGAAACACCATGCGCAGTGGAATTGTACCCCAGAAACTGTTTACTTTCAACTTTGGCAGCAGGAGGAACCAAGATGCAACTGTGTGTTATCTTGTATTTTTGTCTTAAAGTATTTGTTATTCTTTTATACTGTTAACTTTGAATTTAATCTTCTTTATAGATTAAAGATCAGTATGTTATCAAACTATGCTGGTGGTTTTTCTAATACAACACAGACAGCCACATTTGAAAGCAGGTCCATACTGTGGCAACTTCACCACTGCGTTGAGTTTACGGGAAACCTCCTTACCTCACATTGTCTCCATCTTTTCTTCCCCTGCCCCTTTACTGAATTCTCAAGGCTATAAATGCTTTAGTCATACCACAGCTTTCTCAAAGTAGTGGTTTTGAGGATAGATTCTATGTTGCTGCTATCTCCACATAGCTTCAGCTTGGTCCCTCACCTCTTCTCAGCCAAGTGCACTGTGGCATAGATGGAGATCACACCTTTTCCCCTCAGTGTGAGTGTGAGCTACTGGGCAACTTTCAACCTGACTGAAAACAATGAGGAGAGAAAGGAAAACCCTGAGAATACTTAGCAGCTGCTTAGGTGGGCACAGTATGGTTAATAGGAGCATTTTGTAAGAAGTACCTCATTCCATTGCTATGGACTTCAGAGACAATATAAATGTAGTCAATCAAATATTCTGCCATGTCCATGGTTTGAAATGAAAGCCCATTTAAGCTGGAAGGGTGTGTATGGAGACAAATTTGGACTAGCCACTTAATTAGGAGTAGCCTTAAACAACACACACATAAACACTATAGACATTCTCATAGGTATCAAAAGACTTCTACAACACAGAGTTATTTAATGATTCTATAGTGACTGAAACATGAATTTTTTTCATCTTTGTACATATTTCTGTGTCATCACCTTCATGATTCATTTCAAATTCCAGCTATTACACCACTTGGCTATAAGCAGTACTAAGTTCTCACAGTTTCAGTTAGAGTCCAGATCCCTAAGTGGAATACTCTTGAAAGTCTGCTAAAGTCGCCTTGTTTTCCTGTATATCCCTGTCACTAACCTCGGACAAATACTCTCTGTAATCCCCACCACCACCCTCCAAGGGGAAGATAACAGAGGAACCAGGAAGAGAGACTCAGAGGCTGAAAAAAATTTGGACCAGTATAATGAAAAAAAACCACAAAACACTTAGAAGAACAATGAAGATGTTGAACTATATACAGATATTATACAAGCATGCAAATATACTCAAAGATACAAGAGAATATGTTAATATGGAACCTGTATCTTCCAGATGACAACTAGGTCCCAAGCAGAAAAAAGTCCCAGACTGGACTCAGCAGCAGACAGGAGCACCTGAGCCTAGAGTCCCAAAAATAGTCCAAAAGAACCTCATCACCCCATCAAAACTCAAGAAAACCAAAAACACAGGAAAGGAGCAGTGCTACCCCACATAGGGAGGCAAGGGAAGAAGAACCTGTCCTAACAATTGATGCATCTCTACCATGTGAAAACGAGAAGCAGGACCAGCAGCAGCATAGGGAGAGATGACAAACAACCCACAGCAATCCTCCAACACAACAGACACTAAAAGCCCCAAGGCTTTTCTTAGGGGCCTTAAATACTGAGCCCCATGGGAAGGAATGATGTCATGGGTCCATTTGGGTCACCTGAGCCATCCTCTCCTCCCGACAAGTGCAGCTGCCCCTCCTCCCCCACTGTGATTGCCACCTGTGTCAGGAGCCCCAGAGAAATTTTATCCTGGTTCATTCAAACCAGGACACTCCCATATATCCACAGGGTAGTCAAATTTGGGTGAATCTTGGCCCTTCTAGTTGTAACCAAGCATGGCCTTGATACTAAAAAGAAAGCCATGTGGATAGGACCTTAGGCTAACGCTACAGTAGCAGTGTTTATCGAGTTGCACAGTCATGAATTAGTTCTAGTTTTAATCCTACCCTATGTGCAAAAATTTAGTTTCAATTTTAATTCTGTTGTTATTGAAAGCACAACTTATATTCTGCTTCTCATTGACTAATATTTGTTCTGGTTCCAGCTATTGCCAAACAGATTTATTTAGAGCTTTTATGAAGTTGTAAGTAGAAGGCTATTAAGTTTTAAAAATGTATATGTGTTCAGTGATTTGTCCAGTCTATTGCAACATCCATTAGTCAACAGGCCACACAGTGAGAAAGGTTCTATGTTTTGTCGACACTTTGGATAACTTTCTTGTCTTGTTTCCAGGCTTGGAAGTGGGCCAACTTCATACTTCCAGTTTTACCAAAATCACTTAATTCTCAGTCTTCTCTCAGTCTAACAAAATGCCTAGCTTTCAGATACTCACTTTGCAGAACTGGGACCTAGATGAGTGCTCATAATGAGATTTTCTTCCTGCTAATGTAATTTCAGATAATAAGAGAGAAAAAAAGCATCAGTTCATATAAGCATAAGTGAGAAAAGTTAAACTAAATACTCACTGCACATAAAATCATTTCTCATTTGGATCAGACTCTTGCCCTTCGTAAGTGCCATAAACCAGCAGAGAAAGCAAGCATTTATAGAAATCTGGAAGGAGAAACAGAAGTATAGATTGCATCATTTAAGTGTGTCCAAAATTGTATAGATTTAATTAGTTTCCTTTCACAGTAGTAATAAAAGATGGATTAATAGAGGTTGAGAAATCTTCCCTGGCAAAGAAGCTTAGTTATCCCTTTTAGTGTATTATGTAACTAGGTTATAGAAAGTAGTGTGAAAGTCTTTAACGCAGAAAGTGAAAGGTTTATTATTTTTGTTTTCTTTATGATGGCAATTTGATGTCATTTTGGAGTAATTACTTTGACATTAAATAGCAACCAAGTTTATTGGTGTCTGAAACATTAGAATTATTATAGTAAACTACTGATACAAACTGTACAGTTTATCTCATTTAATTGTTTCAGTTCAAGCTTTATAAGTGAAGTATGTCCTATGTTTAAAAAGTATAAATAATACATGTTTTTTTTTTCTTTAAACAAAAGCTCATGTGGAAAGCATTCAGAACAAGAAATTTCTCTAGAGCATCCAGTGAGAGGGGTGGCAGGGAGAGAAGTCTGGTTTTTATGTAGATTAGCAGTAGAAATATATGCAATATTTTGCCTTTCCTACATTCACCTATTTCATCATACACCTTGTGCTCTGATTGATGTCACTACTGGAATGCAAACCCTACTGGAAAGGAAGACAGTGAAAAGGGAGTCCATTCTGTACATGTGAACAATCTTTTCCATAAAATACAGTCATCTGAGGCATCCTTTCCCTAGAGACTCTCTTTACTCTTGACATCAATTCCAAGGACAGGATTGTTTGCTTCTTATTAAATTCAAAATGGCTAAAAGGATACTTTATGAGGAAAGTCACTCATTAGCACAGTCAATGAGATTGTATATGGAAGGCTGCAATTTCACCTTACACTGCAAATAAATGTTTATTATGATTTATAAAGCTCAGTCAGTTCCTCAAGAACAGTCACAAAGATGCCTATGTCTGTTCTAAGTAGTCAGTTGGGAAAAAAAAAAGAAAAAAAAAGTGGTGAATAAAGTATCCATTGAGAAACATTGTTTTCACTAAACCATGACTGACTGATTTCATGTGATGGGGGGTTTCCATGAAATTTCACTTTTAAAAGTATTTTTTGATTTAGTCATTAATATTATGTTGAAACCTCTTTTCCTTTTTCTAAAAAGCATGAAGTATCAACAGTGAAAAGGGCATTTTGAAATTAATTTTATCCCAAAATTAACATATTGTGAAACATAGCGCCCTTATTCTTCATCCAATATTTTTTTAAGAAAACATTTATTTAAAAGAAGTCAGGTTTCCAAACATTAATTTATCATTCTTCATCTGAGTTTCATTTTACAGTCTTTGAGTATCTTGCTATCCCTGTAATGAGGCAAAGAAATGCTGCATTTTCATTTAACAGGACTGGAGTTTAATGAACTGATGAATTTAGCACTGTACACACACAGAACGTGAAGAAAACTGCAATGTGGCTCAGGGTATTTATACTGGTTTGCATCTATGCAGCACAACTGAAGCAGTGTGAATTAGAGACCTGCAGAAATA